ACGAACCGCAAGCTAGTCAACTATTTATCATGAAATTCAATTTGACCTTTCAATTCATTGAAAAAAAACCCATTGAAATTGATACATTCCAAGATAGAAATCTCTACGATAAGAAATTCATAAATCTCTTCCTTTTTTTCGCCCCTTCCAATAGTAGTGAGGTTCGTAAAAATCTATATTCGATAGAATTGGGTTCAAATATTATATCCATAAGAATCAGTTAATAATCCCATTCCCCAAAGACTAAACTGCATTTCCATTTCCAAAAAAAATAGAGGTGTGCAAATTAGATTCAAGCCTCAGATAGAAACATTAGACAGGTTCCTTACCATTCCTTGCGTCTGATAGTAGATATTCAGACTTGCCTCTAAATTCGTAGGCAGATATCTACGTTGCGTTGCCAGTCAGACCCGCTCGTACATTTATTCGCCTAATCAAGTTTCATGAAATTTCTTGACAAAATGCTGTCGCGTAAACCCTGCCAGAGCACTGCTATGCAGACTTGATTAGACATATCGGGGGTGTTCTGCTGATTTGGTCGCTGCCGCTGAAAATATGATCAGCTGGCAGCAACGGGAACATATGACCCAAAGGCCCAAGTGAGCAAACTGTGACGTCGGGGGTTGCATCCAGGGGGTAATGGAATGGAGGATTGCGGCTTGGAATATTCCTCCAACAGTTTGTGGAAACGTCAAGGAAGTTGGGCCGCCGCCTTACAGCAGAGGAAATGGATTCCTTCAAAACTTAAAAACTTTAAACGGTGGCTGCTCGCCCATGCTAAGCAGATACGGACTGCCTCCAAGCCCTCGTTTGTAGAGGACTTTTGGGTTGACAGCTTTGGAGAACCCCAGCGCCTGTGGCAATAGAACGGAAATGGTCAGGCCACAAGGAGTCAGCGTGCAGTCGATCCGAAATACGAATTCAGCCAGCTTGGGGTTCGCTCAAGTACTGCTCGAACGCATACAAGACCCACTTCAAGATCTCTCTTCGTACGACCTGGTTAACCGTGTCGAAGCCGCAGGTGTTGGAGATCATGCTCTTGATGACCTCAGCTGACTTCAGTCTCGGTTGCCTCCTGAAAGCAAAACGGTCGGGACCATGAAGTGGTATGGCGATCATGTCCTAATTGAGTCCCCACTTTCCTGCGAAGCACGAAGCATGAGATCCAAGAACGCAAACAAAGTAAGGCGAAGAGTCGTGTCCTCGGGGCTAAACCATCAGGACTGTAATAGTCGCCCAACATCTACACGTGTTTTTATGTATTTATGCACATGAATACAAGACATACATACACAGTCACATTCTTGTACATATTAAAAAAAAAATATATATATATCTGTCTTCACAGGTATAAAAACATTATGCCAGCGTAGACCCCAAACAGTGAGAGACCACATGGGGACACGTGACCCCGGCTTTGCAGCTCCGAGTCCTGGAAAAATAAAACATCCAAAAGCGAAGACACTTTCGCAATTTCGCGAAGCCAGACGTCCAAAAGCGACGACAGTTGCGAAGATGGCGACGTCGATGCGCACGGCGCCTAGGCGGGAACATTTTGCATTGCATTGCATCCACTTAGCGGGCAGGTCTCAGAGCCAGTCATAAATTCTACACCGCTGTAGTGTTCCACTGGCGAGATCAGCGTCTTGCTGGCGTGATAACATCAGCTCAAAGCAATCTGTAAACGTCAATGCGCTGGCCCCGCGACCCCTATCGAGGATGCAGGGGGATAGGCCCTGAGGGGGCAAAGATCCCTCAAACAGGCGCTGCAAAAACTCAGGCAGACATCATGCCTATATCTCACGGCGCGTCAGATCAGGAATCAGCGGGCGAACCCAGACATCCAAAAGCGACGACAGTTTCGCATTTGGTGAGCCCAGATGTATAAAAGCGACGACAATGTATAAAAGCGACGCCATCGATGCGCACTAGGCGGGAGTGCGATTTCCAACATCGCGAACTGCAAATCCTGCTTAGAGTGGACACACGAAGCGAAACCATCCAACGGCCCAAAACGCAGGATACCACGCACCTGCCAGTTTTCAGGATGCGGAGCAATGCAAGCCTCGAAAAGTGCACGGGACCGAGGCGGAGAAGACGATTTCCACCCGCAAACACCAGAAAGTGCACACGAGGCCTAGGCGAGAGCGCGATTCAACACCATCCACGAAGCCAAAGCATGTAATTTGCAGTGTTTCAAGGCCCTGCGAAATCCGTGCGGGCACCCGCGCGGTGGAAAAAGTACGATTTTCGTCCAAAATGCGACCAGCGCTCGAGGAAACAGTTCGGTCGCGCCGCGCGGGCGCCTCAATTTAAGACCAGACCCTGAATGCAAGAACTCCTAGTGTTGGCACACTGTTTGGGGAATAAGCACATACACAACTACACACAATTGTATTCAAGTTTAACCCCTTGGATAAAAACACATATACACCTGTCCAGACAAATATACATACATGTATGACTATATATATAAATAAATAAATATATATATATATATATATTTTTTTTTATATGCGTTTAAATGCACGCATTTACCCTTGTTATGTGCATTCATGAAGGAACCTTTATGTCTATCCTATCCTCGAACCTTCACACTGATTGTGTAGCTCACACAAGTCCTGAAACTTAAACTGTAGTCACAGGCCCCTATGCAGACCCCTTGTAGGAGATTCTTGCTTCTTCTCAGGAGGTGTGCGCAACTCTTCTTGTGGGTAACCTACGGAAACATGGACGAATAAAAAACCAATGAAGAGCAGCTCCATCATGATCTATTCGACTGCTTGAGGAACGAAAGGTGTATTGCCTTGGCGAGCCTGGACTGTGAGGACAGGTTGTAATTCTAGGCATTAGCATTCTTATGAGTGCATCCTAGGTTATATTGGGGTCATGCTTAGCTGACCCTCCCCTTACGTCATGAATTAGTAAGGTGGCGTCGTCGTCGGCCTTGACTGAAGCCTCCGCTCTTCGTAGATCGATGCCTTGACAAGAACCAAGAATGATGAACATTTCTCAGAAGAGATGAGGGGCCTGTCATGAAAACCTTATACAGGCCCTGCAGAACCCTTGCGTATGTCTGGCTGTAGAGTCACACGATGGCTCATTGACAAACAACACACAGAATGTATGCTTTTGTTTAAGAGCTCACCATTTTCAGGGTATTCCGCGCCGCGAGAGCAGTTCTAGTGGGGAGCATGTAGGTAAGGAGTCAATCAACGCCTTGGGTAATCAGTCGTTCATCAATCGTTCATTTGGGAGCCCCGACCTTGAATCCTTTGTCGTATCGGGGCTGGTCCGCTCGTCTCGATGGTCTCCTTGAAAGCCTCGAGTTCCTTGACTGATGAATACCCTTTGTTTGGAGGAGGGGCTGAATAGCCTCAAACCTTCCTGGCTACCTATTGAGGTTCAGATATCTCACAAGCCGATACGAAAACTCCAGCTTGCTTGGTGGAGGTGCCGAAATACCTAAGATTAAGGCGCCTGAGAAATGACCATTACAAGAATCACTAAGAATAATCCCCTCCCAAGCTAGCCCGCAGTAACATTAAAATACACTTATTGTAGTCCTAGATGGGGGCGAGTTGGTATGGAGCGATGGGGGAGAACACAGCCAAGACTAACACAACCAAGACTCCCGACTCGGCAACAAGATTCTGCGTGGGTATCCTTGCTGGATGCACACATAGGTCTCAAACAAACACCAGGCTCGCGAGTAGTAGTGGGGCTGCAGGAACGAGTCCAGGATGACTACCATCTGACCTGTTGCGAACACGCGAGAGTCCCTCTTGCAAGTCCTCTTTGTAAGGAGTCTACTACTTCAGGTTTGCACTCAAGGTCTTTGATTTTTGGAAGGTGAAAAGAAACAAGCTTGGAGTACACAGGAACCATGGCCATTTGCCCAGAAATCTGGGGCAGGGATTCTACCCTAAAGACAACCTAAAGACGATGCTGCTCATGTATGGCTCTTGCTCCAGCATGCTCTGCTCATGCCGGAGCAGCCAGGTGTCTGCGTCATTCCACGAAGATTTCTCAACAGGGCTGAATCGAACCCTTAACCGAACACTCCAAACTCCAAACCCCAAATCCCTAGACCTAAACCCCAAACCACCCGAAACCTCCAACAACCTCCCTGAAACTTCCTCGAAACCACTGCCCAGCCCGCTAATCCAGCCCCAAAGCCCCTCCCAAAAGGCAAGATTCTACACACATAAAACAGTATAACCTAGTTATCTATCTATCAAAAAGAAGTACTATTTTGACAAATACTATTCTTCTTCTTGTTCTTATTCTTATTAGTATTAATATTATTATTATTGTGATTATTTAGTATGACTATTTATTGTTTGAGATTTTCTCTGCCTGCAGCGGCGAGGTGGGCCTCGAAGACGGTTTGCAATTCCGCGGAGCCCGTGGCGCTGCGCTCCTCCAGGATCCTGACTCCGTGGAATGGGGGTTCAAAAAGAGCGTTCTCAAGGGTTGTTCATAAAAAGGCTTCAGAGACCTTTCCTGAGGGTTTTTGGGTTTTTCATGCGTTGGATAAGGATGAACTGAAAGAGCAAGTATGATGGACGCTTGAATTTCTCAGGTCCTTTTTTGTTGGATAGAAACGAGGTCACCATGAAAATGTCAGCTTCTCCTGAAGTGGACCCAGGATCCTGTACTGATTGTTGCAGAAGAAACACATCCACAAACAGATGTGGGTCGACGGAGGAGCGTTGGAGGACTGCGTCCAGCTTCGGATGGCGTCCACCACATCGTCCAAAGAATACGCCCAACACCAGGAGACGAAGTGAGTAGCTTTCCCTCGCCTGACCGTCCCACTCCCAACTCAGCCAAAACCCCACAAGGCCAAATCTGCTCATGTACCTAACCGACCTAACCATCACCCGAGCCCAAAAAACCTGGGTTCAAGACTATCCTTTCTTCAACACCGACGTCACATCTGCCTGGGCGTTTCCAAGGCATCCACAATGCTGCAGTTCACCTTGCCATCACGTGGGCAGATTTTGCCAAAGCCCTTGCCACTGGGGCCGATGGCCACGAACTCGCACAGCTCATAGAAGTTTGGGTTCGACGCTCCTGCGCGGTCTGCGCGGTGAGTGGAAGCAAACTGCCCCAAAAACACGCTGTCAATGCTCCCCGGAATCATCCTCCAAACCCGCGAGTCCCTTTCAGGGGACAGTGCGTCTTCCTGTTGAGGTGGGGTCAAAGTCAGCTTCACTAGGCTTTGGCATCTTTATTCCTCATGGGTGGTTGGGGGGTGCGCCGTATAATCCTAGGATTTAGAAGGTTTCCGATGCAGAACAAGGGCTCCTTAACTCTCAATGCCTTCCCAAGGTTTGTTACGGCGCTTGAAACACTGTTTGCTGCAGATGCTGGCTTCCCTGGAAATAGTGTCAGCCTCCAACCACCGTCAAACTCAGAAAGGCCTGCAGAGAATCCCTGGCGTTGTGTTTTGCAACTCACAACATGACAGAGGGAGCGAATGGGGCGCATGAAAAAGACACTCAGACACGTCTTCGGAAGGGGCCATCCTGTCTGAGGGTCTGCCAGGCAGATTCGGTCCCCATGTGGGACCTCAATCCAATAAATCCAATGCCAACCTGCCCTTTACGTCAGTCCCCATGATAAACCCCGGAAAAGGCCAGGCCGAAGTTTGAGAAACCAGAGCTTGCGATTTGTGGCTGGCCTGATGCAGTTTGAGCCTCTCGTGGGAATGTCTCCAACCTTGCAAAGACTTGTGGACACAAGAGTACGAAGGTCAGAAAAAATGGCATCATACCCTATACAGACGTCTGAAGTCAGCGCTTTCTCTGTGGCGAATTCTCCAAACAGGGTCACCCCAAGACATCTCACCGCGAGGATGGTCCTTGTTGGGAGCCTACCCCCAACATGGAAGCCCAAATCCCCTAGCTTTGCGAACCCCCCATGTTGGCTTCCAAAGGTGGGGGCAGATCTAAGAGCTGCAAGCGAAATTGGCCACCTGAGGGGTTATCAATCATAGATGGTTTGGGGTTCCACTATATTGCGACCATTCATATGTTGTGATTTTGCTGTTTTGGAAGTCGAACCCAGTTGGACCTAACTCGGGGCTCCTGACTTGTCATGAGTCATGTTCTGTGTGTATTCTTTAAGCCCTAAACCCGAAACCACAGAGCCATTATTCCGCTACGTCCCTTGTCAGCTATCCGTAGCCCGTAGGGTCCCACCCAAAATGCCTCGACTTCTGTGGCAGAGAGTCTATGTCTGGAGAGCAAGACGACAAATGATCTTGGATAGGATTTTGTGTGCTTCGAAACTTGTACAATTTTTCTTCATCACTGACCCAGAAGACCGTTTCCAGGGCTGACATGAACCCCACCAATACTTTCCCAAAAGGCGACCGCGCAACCCCAAGACAGGATTCTTGCGGGAGTGGTTTGCCCTCCCCTCTATCAGTTACAACCTGCGAAGGACTCCTTTGCACAAAGATTTCTCCACACACAATCGCACACCAGGGGAGGGATTGCGTGAGAGAGTGAGCTACCGGAAGGCATCTTTTGAAGTGGCAATGGGGAATCTATCTCAACTTGGTCGTAAATACAAGTACTTTGGGCTGATATTATGCGACCCTATCTTGTTCGAGGACGATTTCAATGAGACTTGAACCGATAGCAGGGATGATAGGGATAAGTCTAGGAAGTGTAGTTGCCGATCGTGCTTATCATAAGATCTCGTGTGCTTGCACACGCGCCAGGTCAAAACCTCTGAGGCCCACAAACGGATCGTCACAGAACCCGCGTAGACTGCATGGGATCCCTGGAGCGCACTTTGGCTGAAGCTCGTACCGCACTTGCATCTAAGGCACAAGTACTCCGTGGCGATGCCCAGCTCTAATGATTCCCGGGCAGCCAGCATAGCAAGCGCTTTGACTGCCTGAACCGGGCTGTAGCGGTCTCCCTTTTGGGGAGGTGTTGAGGGCTGTGCAGGTTCCCACGTCTTGCAACGGGGACCTTTAAACATTGCTTCCCGGATGTCCTGTCCATGCGTAAGAGGTCATCCAATAACATTAGTGTTAATGATATACTGTAGCAGATGCCATAAGAAGCGACGCAGTTCCCAGACTTGAAACCTTCAGTACCTTTTGGCTTGTGGGAGGGACCCTATAGAAGAGTGTGCCCCAATAAGGCTATGTCCAAGTGCATATTCTTCACTCTGGTGCTTTGTGCAGTCTCCTTACCTACTGAAAGGTTGAGACTTCTCTAAACATACGGCCCCTTGTGTGGGAATCGAGGGATCTTCCTAGAAGGATAGTATTTTAGAAGGAGAGCTCTAAGAAATAATTTCGCAAAATCAGGGTCGCTTGGAGGCCACTATGGGGCCCGTGGACCAGTTCTCCTTGTGATCCTCTGCATGGACTGCATTGGGGCCCACGTTAAGCACACTGTACCTGTCCTATTTTTGGCTTGGCTTTTGCCAACGTCTGAATTGGAACGGGATAAACCTTTGCAAGCTTGAGCCATGTCTAAGGAACCCTATCAGCCCTACTCAATCTAGCAACTTTTTGTCCAGCCTTCTTGGTTCTGCGCTTCTTCATCACGACCACCAAGATCACAAGGGTGAGTGTGGAGGCCACCACAGTGGAAATCCTTGATTTTGCACACATGGAGGCTCAGCTCGGTGACATGCTCTAAGATACTTGTAACCTATGTACCAAGTCCTTGACATTTTCGCTACCTCAAAGTTAGGTTTGCCAGGCGATTCTTTGAGGACGTGGAGTTCGTCAGAAGTAAGCTAGTTATGGCCTGCCAGCGCCCTCGAGGAGTCTCCTGGAAAACTCTACTGAACTTACTTCTTCAACAACCAAGGAATAAAGGGCTAAACTTTCTTGATCCTTAAATAAGGAAACCTACAAAGATTGAAGTTCAACTATAGACTGAGAAAGACAAGGCTCGTGATCAAGGCTGCTGTGGACAAGGCTCCGTCCTGTTTCAGGGCTGGAAGCCGCAAGCCGGGAAACCCAATTGAACACAAATCCCCTTCCCCGAAGAGTGTCACCCCACTTTTTTTTTTGGCCGTTTCAAAATGTATACGTTTGTCCGGCCATAGTTTGAGAATCCATCGGTTTCTATCGGTTTCTTGGATTTATCGAGGTTTTCATCGGTTTGGCATCAGAAACGTTGGTTTCACCAAGGTTTTTTGTGGGATGGTTCCTGGGCATCTCTGGGTTGAACTGGGTGTGTCGAGGCAATGCAACAGGACTTCGTTCGAATGGGGAGGCAAAACAGAAGCGATTGAATGAAGGGCCCCCCATTATCCTATAAAAACTTTTATGGGCAAAGACCAGAGCGTCTAGAGGAATCAACTTCAACTAGTGCACCAAGGACAAGGAAGACCAAATTCGACGCTCCGCACTTCCTCGCATGCTTTGCTATGTGCAGCATGCTATCGCAGAATGGGCATGCCCATTGTAGGGCTGAGGGATTCAGGTCCTGATGTGGTGTGTCACGGATCTTGTGATGCATGGCCGCGTGCAGGCTCTAATGATTTGACTCGGAAATTGCGGCGCTATATGCGATGGAACCAACAAGAATTATTCATCAGCGTCCCGAATCGGAACGAAAGTGTGCAATATCATGTGAACGGACTTCTCACTACAATGCAAAATCTCGACTTTTTGCCCTGCCTGCTGTGTCGCCTTCTCATCTTCATCCACCTGCAATATCGGCGAGGGGCAAAGTACCAAGGAACCAGAGCAGGAGTAGGCCAAGTTCCTGAAAAGAAGCCCTGCGTATCTGTGGCCTGGAGAATGCTTGCTTGTCGTCCCCATAGACCCTAATGCAATCCTTTGAAGGAACTCTGGACCGACCTTGTTGCATTAAATTGATATTCCTTCCCCAAATCGCCCCCAAACCAACACGCATAATGCTGAAACAACAGTTACAGTGGGTCTCATGCTAGGAGAGAAACGGGATCATCCTTCTACAATCCAGAGAAATGTCCCCTAATCCCTATAATCATCCCGTCTTCATCCGGACTGTTAACACCACTTTTATTCACCTTCCACTCACTACCAGAATCCTGATTATGACTCCTAGGGCTTACCTTGCCATAAATGCTGAGGGATAACAGGTTCAACCTTATTATAGCCCCCAAAATAAACCAATTAAGACAGTCCCTTCAATGGGAAGGATCTTGTGACCGTGCTTGTCATGCCGAGCGGCCTCTTTTGTGAGAGTTGCGCTGGACAAGTTCGAGGATGGCGGGGTTACCATCATAGCATAATAAGGTTTCCCAAAACCCTAAACGGTACCAACAAAAAGCCACAAAACACTTGCTATAATCCCCTAACGCATGGTAAGACTCTGTAGTCCTTTGAAGAGACCCATTTTGGGAAGCAGGTCATATCGTGCCTCGGGCAAGATGCCCAGAGGATCCCTGGCAAATGCGAAGGACGTTAAAGTGGCGGTTGCATGAAGGACTCAGGGGTTGTAGGGTTCTTTTCAAAGGTGAATGTGAGGACCATTTTGCGGACGCGTTGGTTCTACTTTTTTTACGGGGATTAGAGGGAAGAACCCTTAAGTATCCTCGTATGCAACCATAAAAACCCAAACCCCTATTTGAAACTCGAGACCCGTTTCAGCATTGGAACTCCGAAGGGCCTCGCCCCCAAATGTGTGTTGCTGACCTCCATGTGCCGTGATTGGTTTTAACACAGCTATGGTCACGAAACCCTGTTCAGGATATGTGTACAGCACTTCACAACTCTACAAATCCTAGTAGAACAGACTTTCTGCTCAGATTGGGGGCTCGTTTGCTGTAGAAACCGGGTTTTGCAAGGGTTCAGCCGTCAGTGAGATCTCCGAAAAAAATTGAAAGCGATACTGAGGGAGCACCCTGCCTAGCGTAGCCTTGAGGACCCAGAATCACTTCACCTTATTGGGGGGAACGCTTAAACACTTCAGTTGCCAGCATGCTCCCAGCACTGGACTGGAAGGCTATTGCTAAGGAACAAGCCCATGACCCCACTAGGGGCAGTTTTCTCTCAAATTTCTCTGGCCGTATGCTGCTCCTATCCGCATGCGGCGGCCTCATGTGCCTTGCGCAAATGAATCCCGTGCCAAAGGGACATTTTCAAGAATTTGGGTCTGCTTGGTCATGGGCTTCATGCACGTCATTCACGTCTCACACCATCCGCTGCCCATTTCTGTTCTCAGTTCTGGCGCTATAGTGGCGCCATCGGAAGCTGCCATTTGTCCGAGCCGAGTGATGAATGTGGTCTTTATTGGCAGTGCACACTGTGAGGCAAGACAGCGGGCTCTTGACATCACCGGGTACCTCAATACCAAATTTTTGAACTATCATACTTCCTACAATCATCCCTAGAAACCCTTCACCAGCCCCAGGGTTCCTTTGCGGGGGGAGGTACCTTCTACAAGATTCGCAGGATGAGTGTGGAGATGGATCTAAACCCTAAACCCAAAGGAATCCTTTGCCCCGAGAAGAGGTTTTATTCGTTCCTTCCTTAGCCAAGTGAAGGCACCAATGGTCTCACCTCTTACCATTGAGGGATCTTTGCACACATCCCCGTCCTCGGAAGTAATTGCTCCATGGAAAAGCGGCTCGTCTGCACCTTAGGTGCAGCAACTTTGTTGAACACCAATCCTCAGCTCCTCTTGCAAGGTCCTGTGCCCAAATGAGCGCGGCGGCCAACCCCATCCCAGGTTCCTTCATTTCTCCTGCCGGGTCCTTCAAGGCCTGAACCATTTACTCGCTTTCGTGTATTGGGCCTCCAACTGCTTGTCTTTTGGGCTTTAGCGGGACATCTTCAGGGGGAAACCGCTGTGAGGAATCCCCCTAGAGATTTCACTGACGATGATATGTCGCAGAACTCCTGAGGCGGCGTGTCACAATTCCATCGCAATTCCTGAAATGGCACTTCTTCGATCGCTTGTAATTCGTAGCCCCGCCCTCCGGAGCGGCCATGACTCACCTGAGCACCAGCGGGCGACGTGTTACGTGGCGGCTGCAATCAGGCAATCCAATCTGAGTTGCTCTTGCAAGGGTAAGTGGGCTTATAAGTTCCCGAAGTGAAGCAATGCCTCTATTTCTCACCTACAGCCCTACTCATAGCTAGAAGCAATATATGAGGGTAGAAGTGGGATAGGCTGCCTGGCTTGCGGATGACCCGCTCGGCAGTTTTGACTGCATCTTCATACTGGTGAGAGCCTCTCATGAACCTGCCTTGATAGGAGCCTGAACGGTGTTGGTATAGATAAGGTTTTCTTTGAGTAATCCTGTCCCCGAAATGATACTTAGCATGCCTTACATAGTTCCCCAGGATTTCAATGGGAACGTCATTTGTGGGTTGATTATGGGGAAAGGATCGGATTGGGAACCCCAGAGAATGACCTTCTCCGGCCGCTGTGGGAACTAAAGGGTTCCGCGGGACGCCTTCTGGCCTCCTCCATGCCTTTGAAAGCGGAAGCAGGACAGAGGATGCAAAAGAGCATGAAAAACACCTGAATTTTGATTAAGCCCGTAGAATCCCAAGCAAAACCCAACAAAGAGAAATATCTATTAATCTTGGCACAAGCTTGACATTGATTTTCAAGCTTGCTGTGTCTGCTGAGGCTAGGTTTCGCTTCTTGTGCCCGTGCCCCTGGAGAACGCGATGACGGGGATTCTGTGACATGACTTTAAATAGTGTCGATCTTACTAGCTACTCTTATCATGGTGTTGTCCTTTGTTTTTTGCTGCTGTTTCTGCTTGCAGCAGCTCCCACCTCCTCCATCTCAGTTCCATCGCAGCATGTGCAGACTCCTGCAATGCCTGCAACTCAGAGGCAGTCCCGCAAGAGCCCAGGCCCTCAACTTACTCATGCTGAATCAGGAATGGGCTATAGGGACGATTACCCCCCCCCCCCCCCCCAAAAAAAAAAAAAAAAACAATCCCTATTGGGGGGACTCTCTTAGGGTTTGGGCGGTTTGGTCTTTCAGGACTCTCGTGAACGCGCCTCTCGAGGGTTGGGCTCCTGAGGGATTTTGGGGGAACTTTTGAGGGGACCCTCTTGCGGGGACTTTTCGGGAAGCCTCTCTCGGCGGTTCGGGCCTCCAGGATGCTCGGCGGGATTCTCTGCGGGATTCGTTGTGATTGGGCACTCCGGGGATGCTCGGATTTTGTGGGGGAGCTATGAGCGGACGAGGACAGGATGAGAATGGTTGACTTAAAATCTAACAACCCCCGCACCGAGGGTGGGGAATAAATCGAAGATTCCATAATCCATGAACCAGCCCAAGTCCAGATTTCCACACGATGAGAAACCATCGCCAAATGCAGTCTTCGGGCGGCGAAAAAAAAACTATGGCGTGCCCCGGGATGCATGTCCTCATATGGCATGCCCCGGTTTGCATGTCCCATCGTGGTTGGTCGCAAAGCACCCATCTATTTCGAAGTTAGTTCCCGAAAGCTTCAGCGAAGGGTTCTTCGAAAAACAAACGCTAGCCATGCAATCATCAGCACATTTAGTCTCACGTAGTATTCTTTAGTATTATATTTAGTCTTGCACAGTCTTATTTTAGTATTACATCAAATCTTCTTCCGTGTTGTCCAACCATCTTAGTATTATTTTAGTCTTATTTTTAGTCTGGGGGCGGGTCTGGCCGGCGCTAGCGGAGCTCGCTTGTGAATTTTCTGCGGGGATTTTGCGCGTGGACAAAACACGCTCCTGTGACATTTTTTTTTAATTTTTTGAAGTTCGTTTGTGATTTTTCTGCGGGGATTTTGCGCGTGGACGAAACACGTTTGGCGGGCTTTGGAGGTTTTGTTCATTTTTTGAAGTTCGTTTGTGATTTTTCTGCGGGGATTTTGCGCGTGGACAAAACACGTTTGGCGGGCTTTGGAGGTTTTGTTCATTTTTTGAAGTTCGTTTGTGATTTTTCTGCGGGGATTTTGCGCGTGGACAAAACACGCCACTATGACCGCGGGGGGATTTTTTCATTTTTTGAAGTTCGTTTGCGAATTTTCTGCGGGGATTTTGCGCGTGGACAAAACACGTTTGGCGGGACCGGGGGGGTTTTTTGCGTATGCTGAAATTGGAATGAAAAGCCTCTGCGGGGATGCTGCGGGTGGACGTGCGAAACGCGAGGCGTTTTTGCGTGTTCGGAAATTCGTTTGTTGACCCTCTGCGGGGATCTTGCACGTCGGCGTGCGAAACGCGAGGCGTTTTGGCGTATTCTGAACCGTGTGCTCTGGGCGGATTTTCCTTCTTTTGTAGTACGCACGCAGTACTGGAATCTACGTTTCCGTGGCCGGGCTGGATTTTCCTTCTTTTGTAGTACGCACGCAATACTGGAGTCTACGTTTCCGTGGCCCGGCTGGATTTTCCTTCTTTTGTAGTACGCACGCAGTACTGGAATCTACGTTTCCGTGGCCCGCAAATATCGTGGGGACCGAATTCGGCACGCTCGAAAACCTCGCAAATACCGTGGGGACCGAATTTCGTGCGCCCGAAAACCTCGCAAATACCGTGGGGACCGAATTTCGTGCGCCCGAAAACCTCGCAAATACCGTGGGGATTGAATTCCGCACGCTCGAAAACCTCGCAAACACTGTGGGGACCGAATTCCGCACGCTCCAAAACTTCGCAAATATCGTGGGGACCGAATTCCGCACGCTCGAAAACCTCGCAAATACCGTGGGGACCGAATTCCGCAACCTCGCAAATATCGTGGGGACCGAATTCGGCACGCTCGAAAACCTCCCAAATACCGTGTGGACCGAATTTTGTGCGCCCGAAAACCTCGCAAATACCATGGGGACCGAATTTCGTGCGCCCGAAAATCTCGCGAATACCGTGGGGACCGAATTCTGCACGCTCGAAAACCTCGCAAATACCGTGGGGACCGAGTTCCGGATGCTCCAAAATCTCGCAAATATCGTGGGGACCGAATTCGACACGCTTGAAAACCTCGCAAATATCGCGGGGACCGAATTCCGTGCCCGAAAACCTCGCAAATACCGTGGGGACCGAATTTCGTGCGCCCGAGAACCTCGCAAATACCGTGGGGATTGAATTCCGCACGCTCGAAAACCTCGCAAATACCGTGGGGACCGAATTCCGCACGCTCCAAAACTCGCAAATACCGTGGGGACCGAATTCCGCACGCTCGAAAACCTCGCAAATACCGTGGGGGCCGAATTCCGCACGCTCCAAAACCTCGCAAATATCGCGGGGACCGAATTCCGCACGCTCGAAAACCTCGCAAATACCGTGGGGACCGAATTCCGCACGCTCCAATATCGTGGGGACCGAATCGGCACCATGGGGACCGAATTTCGTGCGCCCGAAAACCTCGCAAATACCGTGGGGACCGAATTCCGTGCGCCCGAAAACCTCGCAAATACCGTGGGGACCGAATTCCGCACGCTCGAAAACCTCGTGGGGACCGAATTCCGCACGCCCCAAAACCTCGCAAATATCGTGGGGACCGAATTCGACACGCTCGAAAACCTCGCAAATACCGTGGGGACCGATTCCGTGCGCCCGAGAACCGCGAAAACTGCGCAGATACCGTGGGGACCGAACATATTGGTCGCTTGGCAACTGTCTCGAGATAGGTTATCTATTATATCTAGTAGTTGTTTTTTAGATTTTTTTAATTTTCACGTGACCGCTGTGTGTTTTTTTGTTTTTTGCATCGCGCGTTCGCTCTGGCGTCTACATCATCCCGACATCACAAAGAAATCTTTATTTTGTTTTCCCGAAAGCTTCAGCGAAGAACAGAGTCTGGAAGAAGCCATCATGAGAACGACATGGCATTGAAGAATCGAGACGACATTGAGATGTGAGAAAAAAAGACTAAGCGGCACCTGGCCTGGAACCTTCGATGAAGCAGCTCACCGAAGAGATCCAACCATTTTAGTATTATTTTAGTCTTACACAGCCACGATCAACACATGGAAGAAGCCATCCTGGGAACGACATGGCGTTGAAGGATCGAGACGACATTGCGCTGCGAGAAAAAATGACTAAGCGGTGTCTTTTTTGTTTGCGCGACCGCTGTGCTGTGCGTTTTGGCATCGCGCATTCGCTCTGGGGTCTACACCATATCTACTTCTATGATCGATTACACAGCAGAACGATCACCACATGCCGAGATTACAAAGAAATCTTCGCACTGATTGCTTTCGGGATACTCGCTGTCTAGTTTTTTTTTGGCCTGGTCCCATCTGGGAGACCGCCGACCGAACCGCGTGACACCCAACCGGCCGGCCCTGTGCGCTCATGATTGGAGACCACGGGAGACCACAGGCCAAACAACCGCGTGACGCCCATCTGGCCAAGCGCGTGACACTTTTTCTGAGGAGAGGACCCCAAATGGTTCCTGTTTGAGGTAAAATCAAGGGTCTGGTTCGGGGGTGTTCTCATAGTGTTAACTGAGGAGTGCAATCTAATTGCTCAGGGCTATATGAGAGGACGCTACTTATTTGGAATCGACCATGTGTCCCACACAGGAGAAACAAGGGACATCGGACCTCATGAGAGAAGGTACGGACCATGCTGAAGACCCAGTGGAAAACCCTGGGAGTAACTTCGACATCTTTAGCGTC